GCCCGGGATCGAACGTGGGACCACAGAATCACGTGTCCAGCGTACTGTCCGTTCAGCCGCCGGCTTCCCTACCAGCATGCGTGTGTGTGTGTGTGTACTCACCTAGTTGTACTCACCTAGTTGTGTTTGCGGGGGTTGAGCTCTGGCTCTTTGGTCCCGCCTCTCAACCGTCAGTCAACAGGTGTACAGATTCCTGAGCATGTTGGGCTCTATCATATCTACACTTGAAACTGTATGGAGTCAGCCTCCACCACATCACTTCCTAATGCATTCCATTTGTCAACTACTCTGATACTAAAAAAGTTCTTTCTAATATCTCTGTGTCTCATTTGGGCACTCAGTTTCCACCTGTAATTACCTAAGTGTAATTACCTAAGTGTAGTTACAGGATGAGAGCTACGCTCGTGGTGTCCCGTCTTCCCAGCACTCTTTGTCATATAACGCTTTGAAACTACTGACGGTCTTGGCCTCCACCACCTTCTCACTTAACTTGTTCCAACCGTCTACCACTCTATTTGCGAAGGTGAATTTTCTTATATTTCTTCGGCATCTGTGTTTAGCTAGTTTAAATCTATGACCTCTTGTTCTTGAAATTCCAGGTCTCAGGAAGTCTTCCCTGTCGATTTTATCAATTCCTGTTACTATTTTGTATGTAGTGATCATATCACCTCTTTTTCTTCTGTCTTCTAGTTTTGGCATATTTAATGCTTCTAACCTCTCCTCGTAGCTCTTGCCCTTCAGTTCTGGGAGCCACTTAGTAGCATGTCTTTGCACCTTTTCCAGTTTGTTGATGTGCTTCTTAAGATATGGGCACCACACAACAGCTGCATATTCTAGCTTTGGCCTAACAAAAGTCATGAACAATTTCTTTAGTATATTGCCATCCATGTATTTAAATGCAATTCTGAAGTTAGAAAGCATAGCATAGGCTCCTTGCACAATATTCTTTATGTGGTCCTCAGGTGATAGTTTTCTATCTAGAACCACTCCTAGATCTCTTTCTTTATCAGAATTCTTTAAAGATTTCTCACATAATATATAGGTTGTGTGGGGTCTATGTTCTCCTATTCCACATTCCATAACATGACATTTATTAACATTAAATTCCATTTGCCAAGTGGTGCTCCATATACTTATTTTGTCCAGGTCTTCTTGAAGGGCATGACAGTCATCTAAATTTCTTATCCTTCCTATTATCTTAGCATCATCAGCAAACATGTTCATATAATTCTGTATACCAACTGGTAGATCATTTATGTACACAATAAACATCACTGGTGCAAGAACTGAACCCTGTGGTACTCCACTTGTGACATTTCTCCATTCTGATACATTGCCTCTGATTACTGCCCTCATTTTTCTATCAGTCAGAAATTTTTCATCCATGATAGAAGCTTACCTGTCACCCCTCCAATATTTTCCAGTTTCCAGAACAACCTCTTATGTGGAACTCTGTCGAAAGCCTTTTTTAGGTCCAGATAGATGCAGTCAACCCAACCATCTCTTTCCTGTAATATCTCTGTGGCTCGATCATAGAAACTTAGTAAATTCGATACGCAGGATCTTCCAGATCGAAAACCATACTGTCTGTCTGATATTATATCATTTCTCTCTAGGTGTTCTACCCATTTAGTTTTGATTAGTTTTTCCAATACTTTCACTATTACACTTGTCAATGATACAGGTCTATAATTGAGGGGGTCTTCCCTGCTTCCACTTTTGTAGATTGGAACTATGTTAGCCTGTTTCCACCCGTCTGCTACGATTCCTGTACACAGGGATGCCTGAAAGATCAGGTGAAGTGGAATGCTGAGCTCAGATGCACATTCTCTCAGAACCCATGGTGAAACGCCATCTGGGCCAGCTGCTTTGTCCTTACCGAGCTCTTTGAGCATTTTTTCCACTTCGTCTCTAGACACCTCTATGTGTTCTATGTTGTTCTCTGGAATTCTTATTGTATCTGGTTCCCTAAAGATTTCATTTTGTACAAACACACTTTGGAACTTTTCGTTTAGTGTTTCACACATTTCCTTTTCATCTTCCGTGAATCTATTTCCCATTTTCAACCTCTGAATATTATCCTTTACCTGCAATTTGTTGTTTATGAATTTATAGAATAGACCTGGTTCTGTTTTACATTTGTCCGCAATCCCTTTTTCAAAATTTCTTTCTGCCTCTCTCCTCACTGCCGTGTAGTTGTTTCTCGCATCTTTGTATCGCTGGTATGTTTGGGGGTTCGGCCTCTTCCTGTATTGATTCCATTTTTGTGTCTTTCGGTCTCTAGCCCTCTCGCAATTTCTATTGAACCAATCCTGTTTCCTAGTTCTGCATCTCTGTTTTGGTATAAATTTTTTTGTGCCTTTATCATATATTTCACAAAACTTGCCATACATCTCATTCACTTCCTTGCCTAGCATCAAGTCTGTCCAATTATACTCACTAAAAAAATTTCTAAGGTCACCATAATGTCCTCTCCTGAAGTCTGGTTTTTCAACTGCTTCAACCTCCTTATTTTCTTCCAGCTTATAACGCATTGCATACTTTATTCCCAAAAAGACATGGTCACTTTTACCCAAGGGAGGAAGGTACTGAATGTCAAATATCTCTTCCGCCTTCCTGGTAAATATCAAATCTAGCATGGAGGGAACGTCCCCTTCCCTCATCCTCGTAGCTTGTTTAACATGTTGATACAAGAATGTTTCCAGGATGAGGTCTACAAATTTACAGGTCCAAAAATCTTCTGTTTTAGCTTCATATGCTTCCCAGTCTATGGATTTCAAGTTGAAGTCACCGACTATCAACAGTCGTGATCTATCGTTATCCGCTCTCGCTATAATCTCTCTCATTATTGTTATAAGACCTTCACGTTTACTATCTAGCTCCTCCTTTGACCATGTGCTGCTTGGCGGTGGACTATATGCATTTATCATCATTAGTTTATCATCCTCATAGCAGATCTCTAGTGCTATTATGTCAACTTCTTGTGGATTGGCAGTCATTATTTCCTTCACCTTTAGGTGTTCTTTTACCAGCACAGCAACGCCACCGCCTTTCCTAATTTTTCTGTCCCGTCTCCAAATTGAGTAGCCCCTTGGGAATATGACCTCATTTAAAATTACATCTTCAAGTTTTGTCTCCGTGAGTGCAACAATGTCTGGTGTCTGCAGCTGTATTACATCACTTAACTCCAGTATCTTCGATCTCGCTCCATCTATGTTGGTGTATGCAATCTTCAGGAACTTGTTCCCCCTTTCCTTATTCTTCACTCCCCCTCTCTCTATTGATTTTGTTGGTTTGCCTTTATGTACCACTTTACTGGTTTGCCTACCCCTATCACTTTGTAGAAAAAAGAATTTATTTCTTCTTCATTCCTGCTCTCATTTAAATGTTTTGCCTCGGCGAGGTTCAGTTTCAGCTTCTCTCTATCTTCTTTTGAAAGATCTCGTCTTAACGACCACCCTTTCCCATCCTCATCCCTTTGCAATTTTCTAGCATTCCTTAGTACTTCTTCCATCTGTTTGGCACCGTTTAGGGTGATCCTCAAAGGTCGATCTTTCCCTTTTACGTACCTGCCTATTCTCCTGTAGTCGCACACATTCTCTCTGTTTGTAAGACCTTCCACGAGGCCAACAATTTTATCTACTACTTTAGCTTCTTCTACAGCTCTTTCTGACCTAGATGTTATCGCCTTTTCTTTGCAGCCAAAAATGATCAGGGACTTACTCCGATCAACTGTGTTTTGCACCAACTTCGGGTTAGATGCCAATTCTTTCCTCACTTCTAGCCTAATGTTTGTTTTATCATGGTTGCTGCAGTGTTTGACTTCCTTTACTGCTTCTTCTATTTTTTCCTTCTCCTTGGCCACTTGTGCATAAGTGAGTTGCATATCTTTCTTGCACTGTTCTATTCCCTGTGTAACTTCCTCCATCTGTGCTGACAAAAGCTGTTTCTCCTGTTGAATTTCCTTGCCTAACCTATTGTAGTCATTTATGTTTAAATTTACTTTAACTTCTTCCAAAGCTATTTTTAAGAGTTTATTTTCTTCTTCCATGGCTTTGCAATTTGTTTCCAATTGATTCTTATCCTTGCGCAAGTCTTTCACTAAACCCTCAAGACATAAAACTTTGCTATTCAAAGTCCCCTGTGTCCCCTAGTGCGTGTGCCCCTTGTGTTAAATAGCCTGTCTTTATCTACCCTATCAATTCCCTTCAGAATCTGGAATGTGGTGATCATGTCCCCCCCCCCCTAACTCTTCTGTCTTCCAGCGAAGTGAGGTTTAATTCCCGTAGTCTCTCCTCGTAGCTCATACCTCTCAGCTCGGGTACTAGTCTGATAGCAAACCTTTGAACCTTTTCCAGTTTAGTCTTATCCTTGACTAGATGTGGACTCCATGCTGGGGCTGCATACTCCAGGATTGGCCTGACATATGTGGTATACAAAGTTCTGAACGATTCTTTACAAAAGTTTCTGAATGCTATTCGTATGTTGGCCAGCCTGGCATATGCCGCTGATGTTATCCTCTTGATGTGTGCTGCAGGAGACAGGTCTGGCGTGATATCAACCCCCAAGTCTTTTTCTTTCTCTGACTCCTGAAGATTTCTCTCCCAGATGATACCTTGTATCTGGCCTCCTGCTCCCTACACCTATCTTCATTACATTACATTTGGTTTGGTTAAACTCTAACAACCATTTGTTTGACCATTCCTTCAGCTTGTCTAGGTCTTCTTGAAGCCTCAAACAGTCCTCTTCTGTTTTAATCCTTCTCATAATTTTAGCAACGTCCGCAAACATTGAGAGAAATGAATCAATACCCTCCAGGAGATCATTTACATACATCAGAAACAAGATAGGACCGAGTACAGTGCCCTGTATGTGTGTGTGTGTTAATTCTTATATATATATTCTATATAAGAGAACTTTTAATTTTGTATTATTTGTCTTGCTGTTTTACTATTGTACATTAATTAAAAATATGATATTAGCAGTAATTAAATTTTCAGGGATCAAGAATGTGGATTTTTGGGTACGGATCACTTACTTGGAAAGTGGACTTCCCTTATTGTCAACGTGTAGTGGGCTATATTAAAGGCTATGTTCGAAGGTTCTGGCAAGCAAGCATTGATCACCGTGGTGTACCAGGCAAGGTAATCTATTTTGAACAAGAGTACAGCAATAAAATGACTAGCATATTTCCTTTGTTTATTCATGTCGTGCCGGTTGGCCGAGCGGACAGCACGCTGGACTTGTGATCCTGTGGTCCTGGGTTCGATCCCAGGCGCCGGTGAGAAACAATGGGCAGAGTTTCTTTCACCCTATGTCCCTGTTACCTAGCAGTAAAATAGGTACCCGAGTGTTAGTCAGCTGTCACGGGCTGCTTCCTGGGGGTGGAGGCCTGGTCGAGGACCGGGCCGCGGGGACACTAAAAAGCCCCGAAATCATCTCAAGATAACCTCAAGATGTCATCAATACATACCATTCATGAATTCACTAAAACATCACACTGTACATGAAGACTCTCCTTTAATCAAAAACTTTATTAACTATCTCCTACTATTAAAATTGTTAATGAGATGATAGCTGAAAGGAAATGATACCTCATGGTTTGGATTGATGCCAGTTTTGAAGTTCAGGGGTACAGTACCTCTGTTTATGAATTAATTCGTTCCCAGAGACAGTTCGTAAACCAAAACTAATTTTCCCATAAGAAATGATGTAAATTGAATTAATCTATTCCACACTTCCAAAAATATTGACTTAAAAATATATTTCATACATAATACTACAAATATTTTGTACTCAAATATATATATATTCTCTTAGTGTCTGTGTTTATTGTCACCATACTTTACGTAACAATAGAACCATTATACTATGTACAAGTTATATCTTACATTTATTGATTTGTCGTATACTGTATTACGTCCTTGTGGCTCCTCTTGTTGGCGTATGGAAGATGGTGAGGAGGGAAGGGGGGGGGGGGGAAGAAGAGAGGCATTAGTGTTTGGAAGGGAAGTCCCCTTCCATTATAACATCAGGCAGTGATGACATTTTTGGGGTACTCTCTCTTACATTTTGCAGGCATACCACTAGGACCTGGTTGTGGCTCACTGCTTGCTTGTCCTACTAAGAATCTGCCTATACACACTTGTTTTCCCTACATTTTAACACTTGTCTGTAGTGAGACATCACATTGTCTCACTATGAATGATCTGTTGTTTTTTTCCTTTATTGGCATCCTCACATTTGTTTTCTTAGGTTGAACCTTACCACTGTCTTTCTTGGGATCCATGGCATGATACATAATACTGTAATTACTTTTATGTTCAAAAACCAAAAAAACAGAAAAACAATTATTTTTTTTACAAAGAATTCAAGTGCAATCGTAGTAGCTTCTTTCTCATCAGAACACACTTTTGCTTCCTTAGGCAAGATCCTACTGGTTCCATGGAAATGACTGAACAGAAGAAGCTGACATTCTGCAGCAGTGCAACAGGGATATTTTCATACATCCCTGCTTGGTACTACTGTTGCTAGAGAGATACTGGAGAAAGCATATCCATGATATAAATAAGAGCTGCCTCGTATGAGACAGTAGACTTGTATATTAATGAGTTTGGAATTATATAAATAGGAGCTGCATAGTATAGGCTATAAGGCAGCTCCTGTTTATACCCAGGATATAAATAGGAGAGGCCTCGAGTGAGCCAATAGGCCCATACTGAATGAGTTTGGGAGGATATAAATAGGAGGCATTTCCTATTTATATGATTTATATAAATAGGAACTGCCTTATATGGGTTAATAGTACATAGTTTCATACATTCATTGATGTACTGTATTTATAAATTCTTTCACTGGTATATACATCCATTCATTGATACATAAATTCATACATTTGATTGTCTAGACATCTGAGGTCAACATTAAAGAAAATTTGGCTTGAGCTGTGTGTTTTACTGACAGCTCTGGAGTTGGAGTCCGCTGCCACATGCTGCCATACAGTCAATTTGTTCAGTGCACGAAATGGGCTACAATGTTGACAGTTATTTTCACTTTACACACAGAAATGACAATAGCATGATATATCAAATATATAAATCCACAAGGGCCGTGATGAGGGTTTGAACTTATGTCCAGGATGATCCCAGATGCGCCTTAATCGACTGAGCCACAACATGGTCAAAAGAATTGCAACCGGGATTGCTACTGCTCTCACACGAATCCCGCAGTCTCTCCGAGACACAAACCATGGTTTTACACAATTCCGCCATGCACTTGGTCATTCTTTTGACCATGTTGTGTCTCAGTCGATTAAGATGCGTCTGGGATCATCCTGGACGTAAGTTCGAACTCTCTTCACAGCCCTTGTTGATTTATTTATTTTCACTTTTCTTTACATTTTGCATCCAAATTAATCATTCTACAAGTTTTTTTTTTTTATTGTAGGCATGTCTCTAAATTGATTGCTGCATGTAGGGAGTTAATAAGCACTGGATTTCTGTTACTCTCTTTTTGCTAATGAATGTGTATGATATTTGTATTACAGGGTACAGATAGTAGAATATCATTAGTTGTTACATTGCAAACAATAGGAATACTCAATTTGATGAGGTTGACCACTTTGTTTGCAGACTGCCTGCTGGTGCATATGCAGCACTTGCTGGCCTGACAATAGAATCAGAGAGTTTGTTTCTAAAAAGCTCTACTGATGTTGAATTTCTCATGACCTTCGCACTGAAGGTCATGTTAAGTTGCACAATGCTTTCCCATATGGTGGGGAGTTTCAATTCCTCTCTCATATTGGTGAGTCTTGTGTATCTGTGGCACCAAGAATTATCCTCAAGGCTTCATTCTGAGTTGTTTCTAATGCATTCAACCCAGTGTTGGGGAAATATATAAGGTTTAAGGCATGGTAGTCTGTTTAGAATCAAATGAACATGATATATAGCATCATGTAGAACCTTGATGCTCCATTTTAGCTGTAAACTTGCAGAATACTATAATGCATGTTAATTCTTTTACCAAAATTATTTTCTGCATACGTGTATACATATGATGATATTGTGTATTTTATTTTATCCACACAGCCTGGCAGAGTTGTCACTTTAGTCCCATCTGAAGATCCAGAGGTTAGTGCAATACTGTATAGTACCTATATCATTTAGAATAATTATATTTTTAACATGTATCTGCTGTTATGAGTTTTGTATAACAGTGAACACTCCAGATTAACAAAATCATTGGAAGCATAAATGCATTCTTCAAATTTAAAAATTTAGATTAAAGAAGTGTCCATGATTGTCAGACTCTTCCAACACTTTTTTTTTTAGACTTTTGAATTCTGGTCTTTTGTCATGACTTAGAACATGGTCTTTTCTATTATGTCTTAGGTTGGTTGATAGTTTTAGGTTCAGGACTGAATAATGTTTACATGGAAAATGGCACCTCTTTGGGTGATGCTACTGTGTGGTTGCCAGCTTTAACTAGGGAGCTCAAACTGAAAACTAAGTGGATTGTCATTTGCTGCTTAATTACTCTTTTCTCAGTGAACCCTGCAGTTCACAGAGTTTTATAGGGGCCCCATAGTACAGTCGGATTCGTTCTCGACTTGCAGTTAAGAATTCTGGGTTCGAAACCCGATCGCATTTCCTATCACCTAATGCTACTGTTAACCTAGCAGTAAATAGGTACCCTGGAGTTAGTGAGCTTGTTTTGGGGTTGCATCCTGGGGAGAGTCAGTAATTCAACCCTGGGTGTGGGGCCTTGATATAAGCCTAATATGTATGTGTGTGTGTGTGTATACTCATCTAGTTGTGCTTGTGGGGGTTAAGCACTGACTCTTTGGGCCTGCCTCTCTACTGTCAATCAATCAACTGATTTTTTTTCTTATTCTTTTCTCCACACACACACACACACACACACACACACACACACACACACACACACACACACACACACACACACACACACACACACACACACACACTTAGGAAGCAGCCATAGCAGCTGTCTAACTCCCAGGTACCTATTTACTGCTTAGGTGAACAGGGGGTATTAGGGTGAAAGAAACTCTCGCCGTTTGTTTCTGCCTCCGCCAGGAATTGAATCTGGGCCATTAGGACTAAGACCCCCAGGAGCTCCTACATGGGGGTGAGGCCCCTGTGTGTGTGTAATTACCTAAGTGTCGTTACAGGATGAGAACTATGCTCGTAATGTCCCGTCTCCCCAGCACTCTTTGTCATATAACACTTTGAAATTACTGACAGTTTTGGCCTCCACCACCTTCTCACCTAACTTGTTCCAACCGTCTACCACTCTGTTTACAAAAGTGAATTTTCTTATATTTCTCCGGCAGCTTTGTTTCGTGAGTTTAAATCTATGACCTCTAGTTCCGGGTCTCAGGAATTCTTCCTTATCAATTTTATTTATTCCTGTTATTATTTTATATGTAGTGATCATATCGCCTCGTTTTCTTCTATCTTCTAGTTTTTGCATATTTAATGCCTCTAACCTCTCCTCATAGCTCTTGTCCTTCAGTTCTGGGAGCCACTTAGTGACATGTTGTTGCACCTTTTCCAGTTTGTTGATGTGCTTCGTAAGATATGGGCACCATACTACCGCTGCATATTCCAGCTTTGGTCTAACAAAAGTTGTGAACAATTTCTTTAGTATTTCTTCAGTATTGCTTTATTTAAAAGCAATTCTGAAGTTAGAAAGTGTAGCATAGGCTCCTCACACAATGTTCTTAATGTGATCCTCAGGTGACAGTTTTATATCTAGAACCACCCCTAGATCCCTTTCTTTGTCAGAATTCTTTAAAGATTTCTCACATAATATATAGGTTGTGTGGGGGGTCTATGTTCTCCTATTCCATAACATGGCATTTATTAACATTAAATTCCATTTGCCAAGTATTGCTCCATATACTTATATTGTCCAGGTCTTCTTGAAGGGCATGACAATCATCTTAGTTTCTTATCCTTCCTATTATCTTAGCATCATCAGCAAACATATTTATATAATTCTGTATACCAACTGGTAGATCATTTATGTAGACAATAAACATCACTGGTGCAAGAACCAGTGTGGTACTCCACTTGTGACATTTCTCCAGTCCGATACATTGCCTCTCATTACTGCCCTCATTTTTCTATCAGTCAGAAAATTTTTCATTCATGTTAGCTTACCTGTCACCCCTCCAATATTTTCCAACCACAGAGACCACAATGGTGTGTGTGTGTGTGTGTTAAAAAAAAAATTAGTAGTTAGTAACAGTTGATTGATTGACAATTGAGAGGCGGGCCAAGAGAGCAGAACTCAACCCCCGCAAGCAATATTAGGTGAATACAGCTGTGTGAATACACACTGGCTCCTTGTCCCCCGACACAACGAATGATTACAATTAGTTGTCCATTCCATTTCGCTTACTTTCTGGATGTTTCTTTTGGCGAGGTTGATTGTGAAGTTTTCCCTCTGCTTCCAGTACCTCTTTGATGGGGGCCAGGGGTCTGGCTCTGGTTTCCAGTACACTATTAACCCTTAAACTGTTCCAGTCAATCTCAAACATTAGTCCAACATTGCTCCTGTTGTTTATGAAACAGTTTTTTTTAATGTGTCACTTAATATTCTCTGTGGTTGTCATTCTACATTTAAGATCTCTGACAATCATTTGCCACGTTGAGAAAAAATTGTGAAAGCCTTAGTTACCTTCCTGAGCATTATTAAACAAAATTGGCACCATATAGGTGCATCACCTACCATTTACTGTTACCTTTGCTTGGAATCATTGATGCCGTGCAAAATTTAAATTACTTTTATGGAGCAGAAAGATATTTTTGATAAGGATAAATCTAATACAGATAGTTTATTTGAAATTAATTATACAAATTTTGTCTCCAACATTTCTTCACCTCACTATGCCCTAACTTGAACAATTAAAATTATGACCTAATGCCATAAGCATTATATAATGCTTATGGCATTGAGTGATTATTGGAATTTCTAACAGTGAGTGTAGCTGAATAAAAAATATATCATCAGTGTGAGAAAGGGTGACCCTACTTGCTTCCTTTGCTTCAAATGCCTTATATCCCCATATGTCCACCAAGATTTGTACTAGGATCTGTCTGATCATTGTACCTTATTCATCCAGCCAAAAATTACTGAATTGCAGTCGCTCACTGCTTTAGGCCATTTGGGCATGGTTACAAAATACTGTTCTGTCTTTTAATTAGCCTACATTTTGTTCGGTTGCTTAACCTTTTAGCATTATTCAACCAGGAAGAGTCTGAAAGATCAATGAATTTACTTACAAATAGAACTATAGCTCCCATCCAGATCACTTGTTGTTCCATTACCATTGCTGTACACCTGGCCCAGTACAGTACATATGCTGTACTTATTCATATACATATTATATATAACCTTCCTGATAATATTTTACTCCCTTCACTGAAACTGACTGAACCTTAGCATATGCTTCAGGCTCAGGTATGGGGTGTGGCCTATGAAATTCCTCCAGAGCAAGAGATAAATATTACAAAGCAGTTAAATGTACGTGAACAACGCTTTGATAATCGGAAGTCTGTAACAATGTATAGTCCCAGTGGAGTGCCATTATCCCATCCTGTACTAGTATTTGTGGGAAGTAATGAGCCAGAATTCTTGTTGGGTGATGCTCCTCTGCAAAGAATGGCTGAGCAAATTGGCCTGAGTCATGGACCTTCAGGTGCAAATTCTGAATACGTGTTCCAGTTGGCAAGATTCATGAGGGATGAGGTACCACAAGCTCAAGATGATCATTTATTCCAACTTGAGGCTGCCGTTAATGAGTTCCTCAGCAAGTCAAGAAAAGGCCATACACATACTGACCACCATCATAGTGAACATTAATGGGTATGACTTTCTTGACTTGAGTTAATCCTGAATATACTCTTTGTTAATCAATAAAAACTTTCACCTCAGTTATACTGTATATAGAACAATCATTAATGCACGAATAATTCTAAGATTTTAATGGTATTCGAGTGAAAAAATATCCAAGAAGTTCATATTCAGCTTCATTAATTGTAATGATTATTTTGTGGACATGGGTTACTCTAATTATGCATTAAGAGTTTAATATTCTTTGCTATTGTGGTGTATGAAAGCAAATGTGTATCATTTCATCTTAACTACACTAATTGTCCATAAATTCACTTTATTTGCATTTCCTTCATAGAGGTCATGTGTCTTGCTTCTGTCTTGTACATGGCTGCTGTCGTTATTTACAAGAGTTTTTTACATACAAGAGTTACATAAATATTAATATATTTACAAAAATACAAAAATATTTATACAAAAATAATACAAACAAACACATACAAAACACAATACAAAATAATACAAATTTTGTATTTATACAAATACAAAAATATTTATTTAATCTTAACCTCTGACAGTTTAAAGTTGAAAGGGTAACCATCATGCAGAATTATAGTTGGTTAGTTGGGCTCCTTTTGTACTTGCTCCATTGGACAAAACACTATTTTTACACATACATTGCATACCGCACACAGTTGAGTGTGTTTCCTCTTTTTAACTATCCATGTTAGTGAGCTCTTTATGAAATGGCTGCAAAATTACAAGAAAGGCTCGGAAATACGTGAGGTTGTAGTCATAGTTTCTGGTGCCCCAGTGCCCTTTGTTATTTGCACTAGTGACCCAGGCTCCTGGGCTGATTAACCTATCACAGGCTCTTTGCCCTGATAATGTGCTTTTTTTTTTTTCCTGGGGTTCCTGGTTGTGGGCCTGGTCCTCTTTGTTGCTTTTCATAGCTAGGAAAAGCATCATCTCATCTTGCCAGGTTTATGTACAGCCCAAGTGTATACACCTGGGCTGTATACCCTTGCTCTGAGCTGTCTGCCAAAATTGTTACTGTATTGCATTATACCTGCTGAAGATGATCATTACTTGAAAGGAAGTAAACATTATAGGCCAATTATTTTAGTTTTGTTTTTCATGTGCTGGGATTAAGGCCTCAGGATTAGATTCTGGAAATGGCTAGGTTATTCAATACCTTGTTTCCCCCATAACATGATGACTTTATATTCTATATTTATATTTATATACCAAATATATTATATTTATATATTATATAATATATAATATATTTATAATAAATATAATATATTTATATTTATATTTATATTTATATACCAAATATATTATATTTATATATTATATAATATATAATATATTTATAATAAATATAATATATTTATATATTATATTTATATACCAAAAAGTAAATATGCAGGGGGGAGCAATCAGAAACCATTCACCCCTGTACACCCGACAGTAATTAGGGAACCTAATTACTGTCGGGTGTACAGGGGTGAATGGTTTCTGATTGCTCCCCCCTGCATATTTACTTTTTGGTATACTATAAATAACAAAAGGAGTAAATGGCTGTTGGGTCAAAAGGTTCTTACAACTATGCTAGGTTAATAATTCTTCAATCTTCCATTCCTTCCTCCGTAATATTTTACCTCTGTTCTTCTCTGAAACTCAGTACAATGGATAGGATTTTAGTGGTTACACATTATGCACAGTAGTTGTATGTTTTATAAAGCCACTAATTATGCCAGGTATGTTAGAAAGTACCTCAATAAATGCATGGAGTAAAGTGAGGTTAATCGAATTTGGCATTTATTTATCTCTTGTAACTTGAAAAAGTTACCTGGATGCTCAAATTTTCTCACTGTGTTTCCTCAAGCATTTAAATTTATCTTCACTTTATTTTCTGTTACATTCTACCAGTTTTGTATGTATCCATATGTAATGTACGTACAGGTTTCTTTCCCTTTGTATACAGTACAGTAGAACCTCGAGTGATGACCGCCTCAGTTGGCAAGCATTTTGGGTAACGAGTGCCCAGATCGCCGACAATTCGTCTCATATGGCGAGCGCTCGTTTGAATATCGACAACACCACATGGTTGGGTCGCGCTGCTTCTCGCACATGGTGCACAGCACCTAAATTATTGGGATCGTCTCAAAGCCCTCCAAATGTACTCACTAGAAAGAAGACGAGAGAGATATCAAATAATATACACCTGGAAGATACTGGAGGGTCAAGTACCAAATCTACACAGTAAAATAACAACGTACTGGAGTGAACGACATGGAAGAAAATGTAGAATAGAACCAATGAAGAGCAGAGGTGCCATAGGCACAATCAGAGAACACTGTATAAACATCAGAGGTCCGCGGTTGTTCAACGTCCTCCCAGCAAGCATAAGAAATATTGCCGGAACAACAGTGGACATTTTCAAGAGGAAACTAGATTTATTCCTCCAAGGAGTGCCGGACCAACCGGGCTGTGGTGGGTATGTGGGCCTGCGGGCCGCTCCAAGCAACAGCCTGGTGGACCAAACTCTCACAAGTCGAGCCTGGCCTCGGGCCGGGCTTGGGGAGTAGAAGAACTCCCAGAACCCCATCAACCAGGTATCAACCAGGTAACATGCTCGGACGCCTCCGACGATGCAAATAATTTTTTTTTTTTTTTTTTTTTTAAAAGATGCTAATGATGCTGGGATATAAAGGGGTGACTGTTGTGATGTTGCAAAGCATTGACTTTTATGTATAAAAAAGAAATGAAATGTTTTGAAAAACAACCAATGTCAAAAAGGTTTGTTCGGTGTTCGGCAGGTAGGCTGCTCCATGTTTCTTAAACAAAATAAAACAAAAAATAGTTTAAACAATTTGAAAAACAGACAAATGCCATAAAGTTCGTTCAGTGTTTGTCGGGAAGGCTGCTCCATTATTGAGACAAATGAAAAATACAAAACAAATGGAATACACTTGAAACAAAGAAAGATTGTCATAATGGAGCAGCCTACCCAACAAACGTGGAACGAAGCTCTATGGCATTTGTCCGTTTTTCAAAGTGTTTAAACTATTTTTTATTTTTTATTTTTTTTTTATTTAAGGAACATAGAGCAGCCTACTTGCTGAACACCGAACGCACCTTTCGCTATAATAAAAATGAAAAATTGAACAAATTTGACAAAAGAAAGATGTCATAAAGGTTTGTTCAGTGTATGTAAGGTAGGCTGCTTCATTATTTAAAACAGCGAATATCATATTGATGTTTTTCGGTGGTAGAACGGATTATTTTGATTTCCATTATTATCAATGGGGAAATTCGTTTTGTATGACGTCCGTTTCACATGACCACCACGGCGCCAGAACGGATTAAATTCATTATTCGAGGTTCCACTGAATTTCTATTTATCTATGGTACCAAATTTTATTTGTTAAGGTAGAGTTTGTTTGGTTATAAATGTTCTGCTAATATTACAACCATTGGTAGAAAGTCTTTGTCTCATAAACCATATTAACACTCCATATTTACTAAGCCTGGCTAGTAATTATCTTAGTTTCAGAATTCAGTTATATTTATTGTACTGATTGTAAGTGTAATCTCATGCATCATTAATTTATCATATTTTAACAATTTTACTTATTTACAGGACCAAGTATGGGGCATAGCATATAAGATTAGAGATGAAGAGCAAGATAAAGTGATGGCTCATCTTGATCATCGTGAGAAAGATGGTTATCTTCGTAAATCAGTTCTCTTTCACCCACTCGACTGTTCCATTCATCCGTGGCACCTTACTATCTACCTAGGTACATTTATGCCTAGGACAACTACATTATATAAATACCTGTAGATATAAAATTGTATGCAGCATTCATCAGTTCCCTGTGCATACTGTTTTGAAATCTGTTAAATGCAACAGGCATCTGGCCAACATCAAAAGTTATGTTTACATACATTTTGTTTCCTCCACCATATCTTGACCAACCTTTCTAATACTTTTCCATCCTTCTTGCCAGGTTCTTCCCCACCATTTGGGGTAGCAACGATGATTTATTATTCTGTACAGTATTTGTCAAATGTGCACCTTTTTAGACAACCCTCACATCTGAAAATGAAGAACCAATGATGTTTCAGTCCATCAAGACTTGATAATGGTTCAGGATGACCGAAACTTTGTCAGTTCCTTAGTTTCAGATAACAATAATAATAATAACAATTTGTATTCATAGGAGTGTGTGTACAAAGAATATAAGAATAATGTATAATTGTAGGGACAGGAGTTACACATACTAATGAAGTCACTATTGCACAAAGCATTTTGGGCAAAGGGAAGAGGTGTGGGTTGGGTATCAACTCTTCAGCCATGTTACTGTGACTCATCATATGCTGCATTTTTTCTTGCAGGAGCCGATTCCAATCCCTTCTATACAGGCCCAACAAATGAAGACACAATTGCTGAAATAATAGCTTCAGCAGTTGGCCCAAGTGGTTCTAATTCAGAGTATCTATTCCAATTAGCTGAAGCTATGAGAAATGTTGGAGTGTCAGATTCTCACCTATTTGGTATTGAAACAAAAGTGAAACATATCTTAAATGCTTGTGATAAATAAAGAACCACATATCAACACAGTTTTAACATTCAACCACAAAGGTAAAATATGCTATTTGTATTGATGTATACATAGTACAAAAACAGATTGAGCTTTACAATAATTTTTTTTTTAGTATGGTATATACAGTACAAGATATTTGTTATAATAATAATACAAGTACTGTAGTAATAATAATAGTGAACAAATCCACAGGAGCCTTGATGAGGGTTCGAACCCATGCGCTAGGTGTTCCCAAACATGCTCTAGTCGACTGCACCACGACATGGTAAAAGAATTGCAACCTGGGATACTATTGCACCCACAGTGGTCCTGACGCTTCCACTGAGGCCTAACCGGGGTTTCACACAATTCCCCTATGCACTCGGGCTCTGTCTACGTCCAGCACATAGGTTTGAACCCTCATTAAGGTTCCTGTGGATTTGTTCATTGATATATCATGTTAATGTGATTTCTCTGTGTAATAATAATAATAATAATAATAATACTGTAATGATAATAATATCGTTAAATTAAACATGTGCACAGTACTGTACTATCCTTCATCAGATTTTCTTGAGCTGTAGTAATGGTTTTACTGGTATGATTTGTCAAATTTACGTTTAAACTAAAAAATATAGGTGTTAAATCTTAGCCATACTATGTGTTCACTGCAACTCTTGCGTGATGTAAAGTTTTCATTGTAAAGGTGTACAGTACTCATGTCAAGATACTACAGTTGTACAAGTACTGCCTACATGAGTGGCAGTACTTATACTAGTACTGTACTACCACTTACTTTACTAGTGTAAATACTTACACTAGTACATGTAAGGTTATTACCTCAAAGTAACTATTTCTATAAAGGGAAAGTGGATTTTTACAGTGAGTTTTGAAATGTGTTCAGAGGAAGTTATTTTCTTAATCTGATATCTCCTGAATGTTTATATAAATTTTAATTGTGTGATTTTGTAATTTATGGGTAAAGTTTCTGATTTTTATGCTACTGTATTTAATGTAGTTGAACAGATATCATGGTTTTATACAAAATAGTATTGTTGCAGGAATTAAATGCAAGCACATAACTACATAGTAATTTTGACAACCCACCATGAAAATGTAAAGATGAAATGTTATACAAATATTTAAACGATCATATAAAAAGCTACAGACTGTACACTGTATATAACTGAAGTTTTACCTTTAGCATTCCCCTCACTTTCCAGCCCATTGTTGGCATGTGGGGGGCTTGGTGGGCGGCTGTCAGAGTGTGATGCTCCATGGGACAGTGTTTCCTCTATCCTTTTGAGGCCTTATGCTCCTGCAGTCATCTTTACTAATTTTGCTGGATCCTGTTTTCTCTTCCTCGTGTTTCATTTTCCTTCTCCACCACTTCTCCTTTCTGCAGACTTGGTTCCGTTCTTGAATGTTCTTAACACTGTCTTCTTCTATTTTGATGCAGGGTGAGTTGAAACAGCACTCTCGCCTGTAGAATTGTGGTACCTGACGTGGTCGAGCAAGAGGGGAAATTTTTATGTCGAAACCTGCCCTCGTTGCTGAACCTGGTCTCACTAGACTGACAGTTCTTAATGTGAAACTTGCAGGGTGTATACCCACTATGCACCCCTAGGAAGGCCCCATTTTGTTGGGTTCCCTATCCTTTAATTGTGGCTCCATGTTATATGTAAGGGCTTAATCATGGATGAAACTTTCTTCTTGTTTGTTCCATGTTGACATCTGACCCTCTTTCAACTTCTCAGACTCATGAGGTGGGTGACCAGGCCCCAGAAATGGACCATGATGGAAGGACGGGCTCTGTTGAGCTCAGACCAAGTTGTTGCATTAACTGACTGACTCTCTGCTCCCCACCCACCTCCATGGCAGGGTTGAGCCCTGAACACCCAGTTGTGACCACCTCATCACCTGAAGTGACTCCATCTCTCATTGTGACAACTGCACATTTTACCCCGCCTCCTTACTGGGGAAGCTTAACACCGTCACCTCCACACAAACACGCATGTTTCCTTCCCAATCTACTATATTCCAGGATTTGTTTGGTCCTGTTAAGTGGACTAAGTATTTTTATCTCAGTCCCATTGATCATATACATCCTGATGATTTATTCATCCATAAACACTAGTTGATTCATTGGATATCTTTGTCACTTTTAACCCCATCCGAATTGGAACAGATGTAGTTACAGCCCCTTCTCAAGAGGCAGCCAACTGCTTGGCTACGTTGTCCTGCATTGGTGAGACTTCAGTTCGGATCTCCAAAAATGCCCGGTTAAATGCTAGCATGGGCACAGTTATTCTCCCGCACCATGTTACAACTGATGATAGGAACCTCAAAGACTGCCACGGGATATTAAATATACTGTATATTGTTGAGGCCCAAGGCCATTCCATCCTCCAGATTGATATGTTTACTTGACCCCCTCATGGTCGTCGTCAGCCTCTTTGCATAGTAGATCCCTTCTGTCCTCTGTAATTCTTGCAGGTGCCATATGCTCCATTGAGGAGTACATTCAATCTCCTCGCCTCTGCAATAGGTACTGGAGATTTAGACATGGGCCCTTCAAGTGCATGAGTAAGGTGTCTTTATGCCCCTTGTGTGGAGTCTTGGGTCATTCTAAGACAGAGTATTTTTCTCCTCCAGCTCACTGCATCAATTGCAATGACACCCACCCTGCTTTCTGCTGCATGTGTGCACTACAAATTTGAGGAAGCTATCCTCAATTTAAAGCATCGTGATAGTTCATCTTTCCCCGAGGTGAGATGCCAGGTTCCCCATTTACCCTCTTTCTCAGGTATACCTTATGCTCATGTGGTGCGTTCCACTTCTCTTTGCATTTTCCCACTTTTTCAATTTCGCAACCATTTCCAGGCCTTGGACCCCGACACCCCTCCTTTTGCTCCTTTGCATTCCGAAACTGAGGGTCTTCTTCATGGTTCCCTACCTGGTGTTTTCTCCATTCCCAGTCTTTTTCTACCTGTTGTCTTCATGTCACTTCCCCACCTCAGCCGTCTTTCCTGTCTCCTGTGCCCTCCTTTTCTTCTTGACCCCATCATTCTTCTTAACTCTTCCCCCTTTTTTTTGGCCCTCCACAACATCTGTCCGTCCTGGCTGTTGTTCATCCTATTTCCAGCTGTCTTCATGTTGACCACTCTTATTCTACCTCTCCTGCTGAGGCTGTGGATGCTGTCGCCCAATATATTGCTGCTGATACACCTGTCTTTCTAAGTCAGAAACGTAAACCTGGCTCCTCCTCTTCCTTCCTCCCTGGTGGGTAAGAAGGCATCAATACATCCCTCGCCTTCTGCTTCTGAATCTATCCCTACATCTCCTCCCATTTCAGTGGAAGAGTTGCCTGTCCTAGCGCTGGAGATTTCATTGTCCCTCGAGTCTCTCTCTGGTGCCACCGTTGGTAAGTGCACCTACCTGTTTCTGACCTTCCTCATCCCAATTTCCTTGACCACCTCTCTCTGATGCCTCCTCCTGCTCCAGAGTGTCAGTCCACCTTTGGCCCATCCTACTGCCCCCTTGACTCGATCATCTTTGCTAGATTTACCCGTATCCTGTAATCCTGATTTCACTGAACCTGATACTGACCCTATCTAGTATATTGTGTTGTTCTTTTTCTTTCCATTGTTATATCTGTTTTGGACAATGTCTATTCTTCAATGGAATATTTGTGGTTTTTATGCCAATTTCCATGACCTCCAACTTCTGATCACGCAGTTTTTGCGGCTTTGTATATGTCTCCAGGAGCCAGTGCATTGCGCTCATCCTGATTGCTTCCGTGGTTTTTCCTTCCTCTCCTCCCCACCATCTTTTGCTGGAGCCCCTAACTCTATTGCACTCTTGATCTGTAATGCTATTCCTTTGTTCCCCTTCTTTTCCATTCGCTCATTCATTCTTCTGCTGCTCGTATTTTTCTGAATAAATGATACACTCTGTTCCATTTATCTTCCCCTCAAATGTTCTGTTTTCTCTTCCTAATCTTAAACACCTGTTGGACTCCTTACCTTGGATGCCTGTTCAAGGCATACTGCCTTTGCTACAAAGACCTCCATTGTTGCTGTCCTTTTGACCTGGAAAAAGCATATGACACCACTTGGAGATACCGTATTCTGTCTGAACTCCCTTCTTTTGGCCTTCATGGCAATCTTCCTACAAAGCTACCTCTCTAATCATTCATTTAAGAGTGAGTCTTGGTACCACTCTCTCTGACTCTTTCTGGCAATATGAATGGTACCCCAGGTAGTGTTCTGAGCACTACTATTTTTTTTTCCTGGTTACCCTCAATGGTCTCCTCTCCTCCCTTCCCTCTAGAATTTTCTCAGCTCTCACAATCTTACCCTCTGCTGTCAAGGTGATGACTCGCCTTTCCTCCAACAACTTCAACTTGCAGTTGATGCCGTATTGTCCTGGGCCACCAATCATGGCTTCAAGTTCTCTACAACAAAGACTTGTACTATGACCTGTACTCGGAAGCAGGTCTTTTTTGTTCCTCTGTGGTAATCCTCTATTGTATAAAGATGCTGCTAAACTTTTGGGGTTATTCTTTGACACCCGTTTGTCTTGATTACCTCATATCTCTTACCTCTGAGCTCTAAGACCCTTAACTTAGTCTTGTTCCATAGTTCCTGGAGAGCTGATCATATCTTCACATTCCTCTCTTGTGCTGTCTAAACTCAATTATGGCTGTCCCTCTTACTTGTCTGCCTCTCCTTTGACTCCTCGTCGTCTTGATGCTCTACATCATACTGGGTTACGCCTCAGCCCTGGTGCCTTTCATTCATGCCCTACCCTAGTCTGTATGTTGAGACCAGAATCCTGTCTCTACAGGATCGTTATGATCGTTGCTGTGTTCGCTAAATTGTGCAGTCCCTACAACATTCTCGCTCGCTTATGCCACGCTTTGACCATTACTTCTCCTGTTTACCCTGTTCCCTTTCACCACCTTCCTTTTTCTGTATGGATATCTTGCTTGCAAGATTCTCTCTCGGTTCATGTTACCTATATTTTTCCTTGTGTCATTCCATCTTTGCCTCGCATGGAAGGTCTCGCTTCTAAAATTTTGTAAAGCCTTGACCCTCATAGCAAAGGCTTCTACCTCTTAGACATGGTAGAAGTCCAAGACATGGTAGACATGGCTTCTAATATATTCACAGATGGGTCTACGTTTGCTGATGGTGTAGGCTACTCCAGTGTCTTTCCTGACTGCACCTATACTGTATATGCCACCTGCCCCTGGAAACTAGCATCCTCATGGCAGAACTTTATTCAATTTTGTATGCTCTTCATTAACTTCTTTTTTGCTGTCAATATTCCTTTGTCACTGTAGATGATGTAAGGTACGAGATTGAAAGCTGTACCCTAAAGTATCGCTAACAACACCCGCTCTTACTTTCTTATAAGTAATGGAAGTGCAGGGGTCTATATAGTAATAGTCACCAATTCTAACTACATGGGACAAGAAATACACCTTGGGGTACAATTTTACAAAAAGGATTTTATTTAACAAATACCAGATTTCCTCACACTTCTTAGAACAGGGGGGTGGGGAGGGGGGTGGACTTGGATCCACCACAGGATTGATACAGACAAAAAAGGTGGGAAAGGGGGGGGGGGGTAGGAGGTTCATTCCTCCCTCTACAACCTGGGACTTAAGATCATTACTCTATTCCACTCCTCATAGGTCACTATAAAGGGCCTGGGTTTACAAATGAATATACAAAATAAATGTGGATAATCCCACACAGTTGAGCACATACACCTGAATTAACAACACACCACTCTCCCTACACACAGGGTTCCAAAAATCCTTATTTCCACAAATTCCTATCTCTAACTCATAAAGAAAAGGGGAAAGCACCGCTATAAACTTCTATAATACTGCACTTATCGTATTTGTTGGAGACCATCCCATCCACAACACTGGTGTGGTTGCCACTGCCTCTCTCTCCCAAGTGACTGATAGGGGCTTGCACATGTCCCTGCCTGCCTGGTTCCAATAATGTCCCATCCCTATACATGTTATACTCATTTCCCAATACTTCATTTATATGTCTTATAATGTTCCAGGCTGTTTTTCTACATTTAACACTATTTTTTCTCTATATTTTCTTGCATTGAATCTGCTTTTTCTTTTCTTTTATCTCTTTTGTTTAT